AAAAAAAAAAAGAGCATGGGGCTCCCCCCCTCCAAGGATAAGGGGTTTCCCCAGCATGGCAATCCCCCAGCAGCAAGCCAAGGGGCTGCAATTTGTCTTGCCAAGAAGCTCAGCACAGTGGAGGGAGGAAGTTAAAAGCTGCACTTGGGGGTAGTTTTGCATCAGCTCTGCTTCCCTTCTTCCCAGACCCCCCCTTGCCCCAGGGGGCCAGGGCCTGACTGCCCTTAGAAAAGTCCCACAAGGTCCGTGAGGGATGGCAGGCAGCCCAAAGCCGGGCACGCAGCCCAGGTCCTGCTGCGGAGCCGTCAGACACCCATCCCGGCCGTGCCAGACACGCAGCCGCCTCCTTCGCCGCACCGGTGCCTGGCAGCACCCTGGTGAAAACCAAACAGCCCTCCCCATCCCCGGGCTCAGATTCACATCCCTCGGGACCAACCTTGCTCCTACCACAAAGGTGGGTCCTGGGACCACCTAGAGCTCCTTTAGCCCGATTTGCTCAGGAAATCAGGGCTATGGGATGCTCCCCCATCTTCTTCTGCACCAGCTTCACGTGATTTTGTAAAAAGCACAGACACATTAGGGAGATTATATTCAGAAATCCAGGAGAAACCAACTTTGTCAGTGCCGCTGTGCTCAGAATAACTCACTTCTGTGGCCACTGTGTTTTTTCTCCCTCCCATAAACAGCTCAGCCACAAACATACCCAGTGCAGTAGGGAGACAACTCCAGAGGGGGGAAAAAAAATAAAAAAAAATAAAAAAACAAAAACAAAAGGATTTTCTTCCTTGACCCACTCTGGCTCTGCCAAACTGCGCACAAGAGCCACACCAGTGTGCATCCCACTTATGCCAACATGCTTAAAAACACTCAAGCTGCTTAAATCCCACTGCAAAGACAAATTCTGCCCGTTTGAAGGAAACCTCAGAAAATGCAGGGGCTGGATGCGAGAACCCAGCTCTCCCAGGAAAAAGAGGTAAATTTGCTGAATTTCTGCAAAGCCTGTAAAAACCTGGGATTTAATGCAGGAGAGACACCCAAACCGCTACTCCCAGGAGTTGTAAAACATTTTTGCCACTTCTACATCAGGTAGGAACATCCTCAGCCCCTGCACCTGCCCTCGGCACGGCAGGAGGAAGGCAGGAGCCTCCTGCCAGCGGAAATCCAGTCCCCGGAGCTGGGGTGAGCTGAAGCCGGGGGTTCCGGCTGCGATTTCCCTGCGTTCCCGCACACTTCCAGCTGCCATTTCCCTGCGTGCCTGCACACTGCCTCTGCCTTGGGAGATAAACAGCCCCACAAGGTGCATTCATTTGCCTTAGACTTTTTGAATCTGTATTATACACCTCAGATCTTGAATTTAAAAAAAAATATTTTTACCAATGCCCCGTCCCCCAGCCTCTGCAAAATCCCCGTGTGCCTCAGTCCCCGTCCCGACCTCCTCTGCTGGATGGGTGTACCCCCTCCTAACCCAGACACAGGTACTCGTTGTAGTTTTACACAACACTTGCTCACCCTCCCCCCTTCCCAGGGATGGGGGAGAGAATTAAAGGGGTGAAGGGAAAAGAGGCTCGTGGGTTGAGATAAGAACAATTTAATAACTAATCTGCAATAATATTGGAAATAATAATAGCAATATATATAAATGAGTGACACACAGTGACACTGACCACCCAGTGACCAAAGCTCAGCTTGCTCCCAGCTAACGATCCCGGAGCAAGGAGAGTCCCAAAACCTCAATTCCAGAACAGAGATTAGAGCCTGAGCATTCAAGAGACTGAGACGACCCTGGAATAGGGGTGACCCAGAGGGAGATGACCCAGAGCAAAAGAGAGAACTTCTGGACAGATCCTCACCTCTCCCCTGGCCATGCCAGGCATGGGATGGAATAGACCATCGGCCAGTTTGGGTCTCAATCCTAAATCCAAGGTCAAATCCTGGGCTAGTCACTGGTAGTCACTGGGGCTGTGCCCCCTCCCAGCTCCTCCTGCCCCTGCAGACACGGGCACAGCAGAGAAGCTGGAACGTCCTTGACTGTCCCAGCAGCAGCTCTGCCCATCAGTGTGTGATCAGCTTCTGCTCAGAACAAACCCAAACAGCCTCTCACCAGCTGCTGGGACGAGAGTTCACTCTGTCCTAGTGACACCAGTTCCTAAACTGGAGGATGAACAGCAGGAGAGCAGGTCACAGAACAGACTCACACTCATTTCACCCCCAGGCATCAGACACCTCCAAGGGAGCCTCTCTCCCCTCCTAGAGCCCCAAGTGCAACCCCTCCATGGCTGGAGAGGGAGGGAAAGGCCACACAGCAGCACAAGCCCGTGGCCGCGCAGGCAGCAGCTGTTTCTCTTACCTCTGCCCTCCCAGGGACGCAGGACGGAGCTCACGGCAGAGCAGCTCGCGGGGGGTTTGCAGCCGAGGTGCTGCCTGGCTCAGCACCCTGCACAGACAGCCCTCAGGGTGCAAATCCCACCTGCCCCTGAGGGGCTACTAATAGCCTCAGAGCCCTGACCAGCCTCACCTGGGACCTCCCCACCCACTGCCACGGGCCCCCTCCCCGTCTAATGTCCAGTTAGCCAACGTTTGCCTTTAGCATAAGCAAGATTATACTTATGATGCTTCTATACCTTTATATGTCCTTAGCACACAACTCCTTCAGCCTTTAACTAATCACGTGCCGCTAGTGCTTAGTTTTCTACCTGTTTCAAACACTTTTTTCCTTTCTTGTTTGGTTTCTCCCCCTGCCCTCTTTGCAGTTTCCTCCTCCATTGGCATGTTTGCCTAAGGGACCGTTGGGATTTGGTGTTTCTCACTAGGTTTTGCTTCTTTGCAAATTGTTGTCCCACAAGGCTGATCCCCTAAGTGAATAAATTACCGAGCTCATGAGGTTATTATAAATTCCGAGTGGTTTGGAAATGCTTGAGCTGTGAATCCCCAGCCTGGGCAGATCCAGATCTCAAGAGCTGCGATTCTCCTGGCTCCCGTGAGAGCCATAACAGGTTTTATTCTTGGATCTCAAGTTATCATCATTGCTTTAAGCTGTCAGACCAAGATAAGCAAGACCACGACAGGGCACCGGCTGAATACTTAATAATTAAAAATCCTATTGCAGGAATTCCTGGCTACTCCAGTTCAACTGAAAGAAAATAAAGCTCCAGCCGGGCAAAATCTGACAGCCAAGGTCTGGGGAGTTGCCTCCACACGCAGCTTCTGCCCGGCAGAGAGCTTTTCCCACCTCCCTTGGTCCTCTGCAAGCAGCAGGTTGTCTTCGTGAGCCCAGGAAGGATGCTGCAGATCTTGCTGTGGTAAGGGAGAGATCACTTGAGTGCATGTGTGCCATCTGAGGGGTTGCACGCACACCCCCCGAGTCTTTCCTGCTGGCACCGGAGCCCCCCTGCGGTGGGCATCCCCTCCGAGCCGGCGGGTGCCCCTCT